GAAATCAAACCCTCATTAACCTTCAGACAACACTTACTAGTGACATGGAAACAAAATATTGATAAATACAAGGCATGACATCCCTATTTTAAGTCTGAAGTACGGTATGTTAAAGTATTTTAGTTACATAATGTCTATGCTGTGTGACTATCAAGTTGTGTTTACAAATGATCAAGTTGTGTTTACAAATGCAACCAAAAGGAACGTAACAAAAAATACATTTCTGGAGAAAGGTGGAATAATTTCTCAGCTGTTGCTGTATATCAGGGGTGCCCAACCAGTCGATTGACGATCGACCGGTCGATTGCGACGAGATTCCCAGTCGATCGCGAGATGTGTCTAAAAATAGAACAACAATATTCTGTTTTATCGTTAATGTCCTGTAACATAATCTTCCTGTGCCAGAAAAATGCACTTGAACGCATCAAAGCTTTGTGATTGGCCGGCGTGACCCCATGTGTCGGGGCGTGGCTGGTGAGCAGTGGGCAGTGCACTAGTTCGCTAACGTTGTCCGTGTTAACAGGAGTGACAGTCCGCACACACACAAGACCGCAATTATGGCAGAAGCAAAAAAGCCCAAAATATATAATTTTTCATTCCGAGTGGGAGGATGATTATTTTTATATCTATTGCAATTCAAAGTCCATCTGTCTCATCTGCAATGCGAGCGTGGCTTTATCGAAGAAGGGTAATTTAGGAGCGGCATTTCAAAACAGTGCACAAACGCTACGAGACGGAATTCCCTCCTAATTCGGCCCTACGCTCCCAAAAGGGGAGGGGCCTGAAAGGACAGCTAAATGCACAGCAGTCCATTTTCACCAGGCCCAACAACAAGAGCAAGGCTGCTACCAGAGCATCTTATCGTGTCAGTCACGTTCTTGCGAAACACATGAAGTCTTTCAAAGATGGCGAAGTTGTGAAAGAAGCTTTCCTGGAGGCTGCTGACACGCCTTTTGGGGACAGTAAAAAGTTTTTTGATATAATAAAAACTCAAGTTGGATACCGTTTGTTTGAACTTATTCATTATAATTATTGTACAAAATGGTATAAGAATGCAAACTTAAATTGATTATAGTCTATTATCAATTCAGGTTCAGAAACTAGTGTTGCTTGCATCCTATTAAAGGCATTTCTTTTTATAATCTACTAAAATGCAACAAAAAAAGGGTTTGATTTTATTCATTTTGTCTTTTTTATTGCACTTTGGCAGCAGATTCCTGTGTAGCTTCAGATCTGAGTTGTCTTATTAGTAAGCCTAATTTTAATGGCAAAGAAAGGGTTCAGAGTCTTTTCTTTTTTCCCTGTGTCATATGTGGCAGCACTTTTCAATGTTTCTTGAAAACATTACCCACTGTAGTGACGTGTGAATAAACTCCAACTCTGTATCAACAACACTGTTGTGTAACTTCAGTTAAATACTTGTATGTGTGTAGATTAGAAAGAGGTGAGATAAAGGATCTGCAGTATTTTATGAAGTATTAATCGTACAAAGGTCAGTTTTATACAAGTAGAAGTGTGTATTTACCTGGTAGTAGGCTGTCAGTAATGGCTACGCCTCTCTATTTGGACTGGTAGATCTCGGCAGACTGGCAACTTTAAAAGTAGCTCTCGGTTCAAAAAAGGTTGGGCACCCCTGCTGTATATAGTCTTTTAAAAACTGACATCTAGTGGCCAATAGAGGAACTGCTGTACTCTTAGAGCACCATGTTTACTTTTGTTTAATCAAAACTTTGTTAGCCAACAGATTTGATTTAAAGATAGTTTCATGATTAACGTTTAATTACAGTAATGAAGTAAATAAAACCCACTTCTGTTAATACAGCTACCGGACGGGCATGTGTGGGGACGGGGCCAATGACTGCGGGGCCCTGAGAGCTGCTGATGTCGGGGTTTCCCTGTCTGAAGCTGAGGCTTCAGTTGCATCACCTTTCACTTCCAAGACCTCAAACATCAGCTGTGTGCCGCTGCTCATCAGGTGAGGACTGGGAGGCACTGGGTTAGAAATAAAAGGAAGACGTTGATGGTGTTTGTGGTACAGTGTCTGCTGAGGAAGAAACAATAACACATATTTTCTCCCCGTCTGTGCAGAGAGGGCCGATGTTCTCTCGTCACCTCCTTCAGTCTCTTCAGATACATGGCTCTGTACAGCCTCGTCCAGTTCTGCTCCGTCCTCATTCTCTACACAGTGAGCAGCACTCGAGCTCCTCACACCCCCACTTTCAAAACGGGCGTACTTTTGCTGCCTTTGATTTTCAGTTTTGTCCAGTCAACATCTATGTTTAAAAAGTCACCATAATACATTTAAATTCATTTTGTTCCATTATGGGCCTCTTATTTTTGAATACCCCTTTTTCTAAAGCCAGATGGTAGAAATCAGCCTACCATGTGCACAATGTCATATTAGCTTAATCATAGACATGTTCAGCTCTGGCTAGCTAACTTGAAACATATTTAGTCTTTCATAACATCCTTATTCCATTATTGAATATTTGTCAGAAATGGAAAAAGGTCATATTCCTGCTAATGTTAACAACATTTCTGTATGTTTGAAATTATATTGTGAGTTTGATTTTTAAGCTGATCCAAACCGTCTGTTTGCACCTCTATCAGCCAACAAGCCATACTTCAACACTAAATGCTGACAGTAAAGCCCTGATGTCTGTGGCACCCAGTCTGACGAGCATTGAAACACACAGTTGCCGAATTGTTTTTACAACTTACAATGAAACATGTGACTTCTTGATGTGTGTGTCCAGGTGAGGACAAACTTTTCGGACTGGCAGTTCCTGTTCTTTGACATGTTTGTGGTGACTGCGCTGGCCATCTTTATGGGGAACGGAGGCCCGTCGAAGGAGTTGCAGGCCTGCAGACCCTCAGCCAGTCTGCTGACCCTGCCCATCCTGGGCAGCCTCTTCATCCAAACCTGCATGATCATTCTGGGCCAGCTGGCTGCATTCTTCATCACCACCAAAGAGGACTGGTCAGTGACAAGACACAGGGCTGCTAAGAGATTCTATTCACAATATCGTTAAATATTGTATTTGTTTCTAAAGCCACTACAAACACCATCCCATATCTCACAGTGTAGATACATTGTAAAACCTCACCCCCCTTTCTTTTTTCTTTAGGTACGTTCCACTCAATTCAACAGTGCCCGGTGCATATAATCTTCCCAACATGGAGAACACCAGTGTGTTTGCCTTGTCAGGTTTCCAGTACATCATCATGGCTGTGGTGGTCACCAAGGGCTTCCCTCACAGGAAACCTATCTACAACAATAGTGAGTCAGCACTCATGCCAACGGATGATGAATACAGTCCCATGCTAACATATTGGTCAGCTTTATTAAAAATAATAAAATGTAGTAAAATTGAACTGAGAACTGAATTGTTTTTTCAGGGATTTTCCTCTGTCTACTGTTGGTGCTGTTTGCCCTGATGACTTGGCTGGTGTTGTATCCTGGAGCATACGTGTGTGGAAAACTTAAACTGTACGACTTTGTTGATATGGATTTTAAAATGCTGCTCGTCGCCGTGGCTGCACTCAACTTGCTCATTTGTTTTGTTGTGGAGGTGAGTGATCAAATTACACCTTGACATTACCTAATAGGATGATTGCTAATTTTCAGTTGAAATAAAAAGATATCTAGCTCAGATGAGATGCAGGACAGTCTGTGGATATATCTTATCCTGGGTTTTATGATGGCTGACCCAAATGTTTATTGTTTACTCCAACCAAATCTTTCTTTGTATTCACCCTACTGGCAGGAAAGATGGGTATTAAAAAAAGGAGGTGCCTCTTTACTTCAGGAAAGATATGCATCTAGAAAGACTGAAATGTAAGATTTTAAAAGCAAAATACATAATTGTGGCTCCAGCACATTGTATGCAGAACATCCCTTATCTGTTAACCAATCACAACAGAACCGGTCAGCTAACCAATCAGAGCAGACCAGGCGAAAGAGGTTGAAAAGAGGTGCTGCAGTATGACAATAACAAGTCACTTCTTTAACATTAAAGCATGGAAACATGTCACATTAGAAGCACAAAATAGATTTATAAAACCAGAACATTAGCATAATAGGGCCCTTTTAATTTTAAATGATAAACACTCCAAATGTCTCTCTTACTGTGGTATATTCCTAAACCTTTGTTAACTGGAAAGTTGCTGTTTCCTCCCCAGTTGCTGATAGACGGAGGGATCCTGAACTGTCTCCGGTTGCTGCGCGGGGCGCGAGAGTCCAAGAAACGGTACAAACGCCTGAAGCTGCTTCTGTCTGAATCCCCATCATGGCCGCCCCTCAATCAAACCCTGTCCCCCACAGATAACATAGTAATTGACTTTAGCTGACGTCCGCTCAGCCCTCAACGAGTCACCCAAGCCAAAAAGTGCAACTTGTTTAACAATGCAAACTTGTGTTTATTTCTGTTATTAAAACATGTTTATTCCAAAAAATGCCACCTTCACAAAAACTGCTATTACAAATAGATATATTCATATATTTTCCCACTTTAAAAGAGTAAATATTTTAAAACTACTCCAGCCTGACATACACATATGAAATATGAATTATATTTTGGGAATTTTAACCCTTTAAATGCCAGTTTGTTGAAAAAAAACTCCACTGTTTCTTTATTGGAAAAAACAAAAACTAGAATAATTTCCATAAAATACATTTCAAGGAGTATTTAATTAGTATTATTATTAGACCCTGATATGGGTCAAGGATTGGCAGCAACATTTTGATGCATAATGATTTGTTCTGCAGTGTCAGATTAAAGTTTAAAATCTTAGCCTATAATGATATATGATGATTTTCACTAGGCCGTCTCCTACCACAAGTAAAAGGGGTTTTTCCCCCACTAAATGCCTATTACCCTGTTGTGTGCTAAAATGAATAATACAAGATAATTTTGAACCAGAAAAACATTTATTTTACAAAGATGAACATTGAATGATGAACACTGTAGCTCCCTCCAGTAAATGACACGAGGCTGAGGTCTTGATTAAATACGGGGTTTATTCTTGTGGGACCTATTCCAACCCGTGAGAACTCGTAGGCTGCTAGTCACCTAGAGGGGCTGATAACTTTATATGCATTTTCCCTTGGTTTCCTTAGTTTTCCTTTAACGTCCTGCGTTGCTCTGCCGTTGCAACTATCCAGTGCGTCGATTAAACAGGTGTAACACAAAACACAGCAGATTAGTTCCGCCTCTAATAATGTTGCACATAAAAGGTAGGAACCAAAAATACAACGTGGAAACAAATGAACAACAGAAAGTGAAGACAGTTACAAACACTGTGTCTGGCTGTGAGAGTCCAGCTCAGGTCGAGCAGGGGCCGCAAACTCTTCTGTCCATGCAAAGTGGCACTGCCTCCTGCTCTTCCGTTCACTGATGAGAGAGGGGCCTGCGGCAGCACCCTGCAGATCTGACGCTCTTGTTGCAGCGGCTGATGAGCGGGGAAGGCGCCCTCTCTTCTTGATGTGTGGGGTCACCAGCATTTCTCCCACCTCTTCAATGAAGAGCCTCCTCCTGTACGGTTTCTGCTGCTGCTAGGCGTTTGTAATGGGAAATGTCAACCAGGTTGTGGAAGAGGGCAAGTGGCCAGCGATTTGTTCTCCTCCTGCAGGAGTAGGTGGCAACAACCTAACAAAAACATAAAACAAGACAATTTGAATAAATGATTCCAAGCATTTTCTCTCATGATGCAAATATTATTTATTTTATAGGAAAATGCTAATTTGAAGAAACCTTATCAACCTTATTCATTTAATCGCTTACGTCTGGACTGCGGTGTTTCGTGCTTAGAAGCAACACATTCCTGCCCCGTCGAGGGATGTAAGAGACCAGTGTGTGGGTCTTCGTAAATGTGGAGGAGAGGACTGCTTTTGCCTGGAGCAAATTAGGGGGAAGTTCAGGCTTGTTTCGGCGAATTGTGACAACCAGGGCCAGTGTTCTCCTGAGCAGCTCCTCAGCCAGTGCGAAGGACGTGAAAAATTGTAACAGGTAAAATGATGTGTCCCTGGAGCCCCTCTGTCATCTCCAGGACCACCCTCATCCCCTGGTTGACATCAGAAGGACTGCCAGCTGCTTTGCCTGTATACACCTGCAGTCTCCAGGCGTAGGATGATTTTACATCACAGTTTGCCCAAATCTTGTCGTCGAACCGCAGTTTTCGGCTGTTTTGGTGAAACCTCTTGTTGGACATCGTGGCCCGGAAAATGCTCCGTCCCGATTTCTCACTCCAGAGGCTGAGGGTCGATTCATTTTCTGACCTGTAAACACCGGCCAAAATGAGCAGCCCCACGTAAGCCTGCAGTTGACCGTCTCCCATGCAGGTTTGTCATGGACACAATATGCTGCAGGATGTCATTGTCATCCGTCAGCAGCAGTGCAAAGCTGGATGCCGGGTCGCTGATTTGGGCGACAGCATAGTGTTGTTGGTCCCGGGATCAAACTCCTGGCTGCTGGGACGTAGCGGAGCGTCTCAGTGTTTGTGGGAGACCAAAACACTTTTTTTAAGTCCATCCCGCAGCTGCTTCCTCCATCTCCCCTCCACTCTCAGCTTCAGATGAGTCTGAGTTGGACTCTAGCTGGTCTGTTCCCACCTCTGAGGCGTCCTCCGTGGACTCTGAGGCCTCTTCTGTGTCAGCCTCAGAGTCCACGGAGGAGGATGAGGAGACATCCTCGCAATCAGAGTGCATGATAATCTCCAGAGCCTCCTGTGTGCTGTAATGCCTTGCTATCTCCAACAAGACTACTCCTGCACTAATAGTTATAACCATGGCTGCAGTGCACCTGCATAAACAACCTGAACAATAACCAAAACAAAGTCCAATTTTGTTTTAGTTTGCACAACTCATTGTTTTTATTATTGAATACGATTATTACGCAGTGTGGCCTTCTAAGAGAAAAGTATTTTGAAGTTGGACACGCATACATATACACACACAGGCCCGGTTCTACGGGGGTGCATAAGGGTGCATTGCACCCTCAGTTGAGTCGTTATGCACCCTCATTTGAAAAATTAAAAGTGAAAAATATTACATAGTAGTAATAAGAAGAAGAAGAATTTAGTTGAAATAAATTGTAATTATGATTAAATAAATAAAATAAATTTCAAAAATAAAACTATAAGTTGCAAACAAATCATTTGTGTAATCATGTAAACTATGAGTATTTTTTCTTCAGACTTTTGCTCACGCTGCAGCTTTCTCTTTTGCGCTCCCTCATTTTTTGTTTGAGATTTTGACACCAATCACCAATGGGCGGGACTTTCAGGAATGTGTCCCCATTGGCTACTCAGTTTTTGAGTGACAGCCCACTACACCACCGATACAGTGCAACTCATGCAGCAAACTCCGGAGTCCACTCGGCCACGTTAGTGTTGGTGTCTCCTGGGGAGTTTTCATGAACATATAATGGACCAGCACCAGAGGCGTTCCCATACACACAGGCGTTGGAGCTGTTCTTCATGAAATCCCAGAAGGATGAAGTGCTCTGACAAACAGCGCAATCTTTGCGCAAAATGATTATACCGGAATGAAAAGTCAATAAATAAATAAACATGTTGTTAAAACCTTTTTTTTTCATTTTACCACAACAGTGGATGAACAATTGATATGTGTTTGAACAAAAACAACAGGAAGAACAAAGTAAAAGGGACGAACAAATGTGTGAACAAGTATTAAGAACAGTGTATGGAAAAAGTGATGTGATGTGGGATGTGTTTTAGAACAAAACAAAGTAAAATGAATGAGAAGGAGAACAAAGAGGGTTAGGGTTCAACAGAAAAAGATTAATTCAGCCAAAAAACACAATTTTGATTAATCTAAAGTGTAAAACAATCTTCAACACAGACCAAATTAGTGCCCTTGGACAACAAAACATATGGTGGGGCAAAGAAACGATAAATTAAATTGAGAGAGTGGGAGACTAAAAATGATTACTATGATAAATATTCAAACTATTTACAAAACTATTTACAGAAGCTCCTGTTGAACCAGCAACAAAAACAGGTTTGTCAACAATAACGAGGCCACTTTGCCAGGGGGAGGTGATCCAGCGACGAGACAATAAAGCAATTCATATTAGGTTCTGTTGAGACACTACAGAATATAAAACCTTCCAAGCCATGACCTCTGCCTGAAATCAGGACCACTCAGAGGAGAATGCAGCACATCAAACTGGAGTCAGGAGTGTGAATAACACATTTTGGCCAAAACAAATGGTTGCTTACCAATACAGTGACTGAACATTGGACACCAAAAAGTTTGACCTCATGTCGTCACGCAACACTGTTACTGCCCTAAGTCATTTCAAGATGGAGGAGTATGATAAGGCCATCAGCTTCCTCCGGGACTCCATCCATCTGTTTCGGGGCCTGAAGATCGGTCCCAAGGGCAGCTGGAAACCAGTCCAGACAGGACTGGTGATGGCCACAACAACAATCCTGCAGGTCCAGCATGACCTGTTGAGACAAGGGCACAAATTTGTTCTCACAAGCCGCTTCACTCAAGACTGCCTGGAAAATACATTTTCGTCCATTCGTCTGAGGAACTCTGTCCCAACACCTGTAGAGTTCCAATATGCTCTGTGCGCTGTCACTGTGGGTAAAAAAAAAAGTGCTAATTATTTATTTTTTAAGTGTTTATTTTGTTAAAAATAAACATTTTGGATGCATGAAGGATGAAGGAAGGATGAGCCTAAAAGGAACAGTACCAAAAAAAACAAAGTACAGTCAACATGTCACATAATGAAATGTTAGTATATCCCAAAATTCAATTAAATATTAAATGAAATATTTATCACAAACGCCACCTCATTTCTACTAGTGCTAGCAGTTAAGTCATATCATACAGAAAAAGCCGACTAAGGATGGCTAACACGGTCAGGTTCAGCGGATAAAAACCAAAATAACAATAAAAACACATAATCAATCTAAATCCTGCTTGTTAGTTACCCAGCATCATTGATATATAAGCTGCTAGCGATTCATTACTGAAATGTTACCTCCAAGGCGCTAAAAATAAAACTTCAAACATCGCAAAATAAACTGGTCAGACTACTGCTTGACCTTTCATCTAGAACCCACCTCACCTCTGCCCACTTTGACAACCTAGGATGGCTTAGAGTAGACGACAGAGTACAGCTACTTGCAATGGGCCTGGTCTACAAGATCCACTACACCTCTATGGTACCCATGTGTCAAAATTCGTCCCAAAGGTCAAGGAATACCATGATCATAACACCAGAGGGAGCTCCACAAATCATGTGAAACCCAGATTTGGCACAAAAAAGGGGGAATACACGTTTCGCAATTATGCCACATCAAGGTGGAACGCTCTTCCCACAACTGTAAAGGAAAGTAAAACTATACTTACTGTTATGAAAATAATTGTCATAGACGCCAAGATGTGACATACAGGACAAACCTTGATGTCTGTTTACCTTCTTTAAGGACACAGGCTGCTTAGCCAATAATGTTATTATTCCCATTCTGTGACCGGTCAATACTGGGTCACAGATGGTCTGTGTTGTGGGTACACTGGGACACTTCCTTCTCTGTATTTGTGGACTCCAAGGTAAAATCTTCGAGGTCATAAGTGTCCGAGGCAAGTAGCTCTGTGTTCCCACACTGTTTAGGCTATCTCCTCAAATATGTTGTTTACTCTCTGCGAAACCAGTTAGATGGGCTGGCAAGAGAGAGGCTCTCCAGAATTGACGTGGCAACTCTACCGTGAAGTCAGAACCTCTGACTCTTGGACTTGTGATGTGAATCCTCCGGCCGTTAACTCCAAATAAACCATCATGTGTTTGACATCAAAGCTACTGCTCCTACCGTGTCTCCTTCCTGAGTCGGTGACTCCCACTGCATAGCTACACAGAAGTTTCCTCTACAAATTGGCGTTGTCGGCAGGATGCCAACAGATCTTCAGATTCTGGTAAGTGTGATTTTCAAATCTACATTTGGACATTGCCTTATCAGAATCTGTGATTGACGGTATCCTAAAATTACCTGTGAAACTGATCGGCTGCGTTTCCTTTTGGTTAATGAACATTTGGGGATGATAAACCCAGGAGATCAGTGTCTGGGGACTCAGTCCTGGCTTATTTCCTCTGTGTATGCTGCTCGGGACGGAAGTGCCATACAGGCATGCACAGCTCATGTTTAGAGATACCTTAAAGAAAGGGCATCAGTGAAGTGGAGCTTCTGTGTGAATTGAAAGCAATGTAAAAGATTTGTATTGAACAAATCGCCGGATTTTGAGGGTCTTAGTGGCTAAACATAGCAGTTGAAAATAAGCAGCCAGAGATATTTATTGCTATCACCTCTCTGTAAAAACACGGCTCCAGCTGCAGCCTTGCGTGTGTGTGTAAAACCTCACCGTGTGTGTGTGGGGCTGGAGCAGTGCAGGCTGAGAGGGAGAAAGTCACAGCTTATTGCCTATAGGTTTTAACTCACGGCACCGCCGTCCTTCAAACGGGACGGTCTAAAAGCACTCGTTGTTTAGGACCGCTTTTCTCATGGTTAGACGGGCCAGCGCGAAGTGCGTGCATCACCCGATGTGCTACGGCTCTCTGGAGCAGGTGGCGGTCAGGAGTGCATACATACAATTATAGGCTAATTGATCAGAGGTGTGTAGTGGCAAGCAAGCATAGGCAAACTGTGTTTCACCTTGAGGTGAACTCGATAGCAAGTGTATATCGGCTGGTCGTACGGACTACAGTCAACTGAGCTGTTGTTTGGAGAGAAAGGGCAGGGAAAAAGTCTGTGGGCTCCGATCGGGGGGGCACAGCGCCACTAGAAACAAATAGCCTAGTGGTTGTCGCAAGAGGATAAGCTAGTTATCGTTCTTGGACGGCTTTCAGGCACCGATAAATCACTTGTATGCAAGGGTGAGGGGTGAGAAGACGCCGCACTGGAGAGAATTCCCACCCCCTCTAAGATCTCTAAAATCCGGACTAAATTGAGCTGATGAGCTTTGCTGTCGCGCTGGTGTTTATTAAGAGTTCATGTTTTGTTTGTCTGATTGTTTGTATGGGGGTCTATATTGGTTTGTCCCGCCGTCTTGTGTATGTTTTGTAACAACTAATAATGAATCAGTCCATAGACAGGGTAAAATGAACTAAACTTTAGTTATCTCACCAAAAGTAAATGACCTGAGAAAAATAAAAAGTGTTTTTATGTCCTGCCTCTGAGTGCAGGGGAACATGTAAACAAGAAGCACACTGTTCAGGGTGAGCGCTGTAGGTGTAAGAAGAAAATAAGATTATATTGCTTTAATAATCCATTCTTAGATGGTATTGCTGGTATGTTAAGATATCTTTGTGACCTTGTATAAACCCTATGCCCGTCCTGCGCCCCGAGACCCTCAGAGACCTGCCTGAGGAGATCAGAGTTGCAAAATCTGGTTTTAGGTCAATGTTGTATTATTTGTTTCATTTATTCTTAATCTATGTATTGTATAGTAATAATGAATAAAAACGTAATGTATTGAACACATTCCGAAACAAAGCAGATAAGCAGAACAAGACTCAGACATAATACTAATTGTTGTTGAAACCTTTTGCGCTGTTGCAGCCAAATGGAAACTGTGTTAATTATTCTGTTCCAACTGGCCACTGGAATCAGGTAATTAATATAAGTTGAAGTTCAATTACAGTTTTAAAAATAGTTTAACATTCTTTATTAAACTGCTCCAAATTATTTCTAGTATCAACCAATTGGTCTCCAGAGACAATACTAAAATTAAAATAGTTGTTAAACTACTGACAAGTTTTCTGAAACCGAGCTTATGAACAACAGACTAAAGGTTGCTGGTTAAGCCAGGATCAATATATTTGTTGAAGTTTTTATTGTGTGCATAATAAATGTGTTAAATTAATTGAGCAATTCTTTAAAAGTATAATGTTGCAATTTCTTTAAAATAAGTAATTACAGTTACAAAATAGGTGTTGTTTTCCAAGGGCCTCTCTTTCACAGGCACTTTGAATCATAACATTTCCAGGTCCTACAGAGATCAGTATCACTTTGTGTTGCAAGCCAAATCCAGGGGTTCTACTCGAGCCCAATTTTAAATACCATAAAGAAAAGTATTGAACCCAGCTCGAGCTAAATGTCAAATGTATTTAATTAATGTGCAAGTGTTTTGATTTATTTAAAATGTTCCAGTCTAGCTTCCTTCGAGTTTAGTGTAAACAACAGATTGGTTCTCATAACATTCTCACTGCTGTGCTGTCCCAAATGTTTTAAACCTTGGGCAGACAAACACACACACACTTTGGATGAGTAATCACTTCATCCAAATTGTAAATTGTTGCCTTCTTTAAAGTTATTAGTAATTCAAGATTAATTATTAAATTAAATTAGGTACATAACAATAAACAAAATAACTTTGACTTGATCATTTTGTTCACAACATTAGACCTTGTCCTCTAATCTCTACTAGAATAAGATAAGTGTGCATGTTTGGGTGTGGAACACTCCTGTAATGTACCTAATCTTCTTATCCTTTTCATTACAGAGCTGGGGAAATGGTGTATTGCTTAGATTCGGATCCGTGGAAAGTCCAATTATGACTGACTTTAGTTCTAATGTTAATTTGATTTCAACCCATAAGTAATTATTTAGATTAACTCAACATTTCACATGATGATGGATTAGTGCTCCACATTTTTCCCACTAATTTGTTGTGCAATTAGGCCAATGGTAAAGAGAGACATTGATGACCTTGTGTCCCTTTTGTTGGTACGTGGTTCCATTCTGTCTATGGCCTTGGACGGCTTCACTAAGAATCACCCAGTTCTGACAGTCCGGCTGAGTGCAGTCACAGAGATGCTATGGCTGCTCTACATGAAATGACATTAATGGTCTGGTCTGAGAATGGACACCATTACCTGCTTCCAGAGACAATGCCGCTCCTCAAACTGAACAATACTGTCTAACGTGGGCCACTCCCCCCACCAAGCCATGAACTGAAAGAACACCTGGAAGCCTCCCGGTCACACCAGCACCAACCCTTGGGTCAGTCCGATGGGACTAACGGCTTAACTTAGGGCATTTGGTTCAGAAATATGACTCTCGTTACCGCAGAGTGGGTTGTTTTTTTAAGGCTATTCATACTGCTATGCAGAGGATGCCTGTAGGTTGGCAAGCTGTTAAAAGCCCCTACTATTTTTTAAAATAGGCCTAAATGTCAGGAGCCTCTTAATGTCTAGTTCTACATGTATTCACATTATATGGACAATGTTTCCACCTGGTGAAACTGAAGGCTGCACGGTACTCAGGCTACAATACGACCATTCTGTTCTGCTCTAACGATTCAATTGATAGATTCTACATCAAAACAATTAGCTTTTATTGTTTCCAATGATAACGTCACTTTAAGTGGAGGAATGCAAACCTGTTTTCAAATATAAGGTTTTGAATGTGTTTGACATTTCTCAGTAATAACACCCTCAGACACCCACTATCATTTATGCTATGCTTTCAGTAATAACTCAGATGTTAAGGGGGTTGAAGCTTTTCCTCCCAAATCAGATATGCTTTGTTTTTTTAACAAAGGTATGCATTTCCTGCATAATATATGTTTCTCACAATTGTTTGTTTTTTTGTAAGCTGCACACAGGTGATACTGAGTCTTCTCGATCAATAGATTACACC